GGTTGATAGGAATTGCAGTCCAATGGTTTGGAGAGCCACAGATTCTCCATCCTTATTGTATTTCTTTAATACCCTAACGACATCAGATCCCATCTCATCTTGGAAGCTATAGTGTGCAGGTTTATCCCCTGGTTAATACTTGGATGGGAGATGCCAGTGAATACCTGATGTTATAAAGAAGAACTTCCTAAACTTTTTCCACACATGATCCCTTTCAACCTTTTTTTTTTTTGTGGCCCGAAGTATGTAGGTACATAAAATAGATATAGAAATCAAACATTTTCTGATAATAAACCAGCATTTGCAAGGCTTGCTAAGCAGGATGACTTTCCTTTTTTGTGGCATATAGCTGAAGCATTTTCTGCAGAGTCTGCTTTGCTAACAGATTTGTGCAAATGGGTGGTGTTCAGAAAAGACAGGTGTGCTCCTAGTCAGTTGCAAGCCTGAACAGGGTATAGGGTTACAGCCTGTGCTCGACAGGTTACACTCCCCCTGAAGACACAGGTTCGCAGTTTGGGAGTTCTCCTAGATTCATCGCTGAGCCTGGAACCCCAGGTCTCAGTGGTGACCAGGGGAGCGTTTGCACAATTAAAACTTGTGCACCAGTTGCACCCGTACCTTGAGAAGCCAGACTTGGCCACAGTGGTCTACGGTCTTATTACATGTTGAATAGACTACTGCAACACACTCTACTTGGGGTTGCCTTTGAAGACTGTTCAGAAGTTTCAAGTGGTCCAATGGGCAGCAGCCAGATTTCTCACCAGAGTGGCGTACAGGGAGCACACAACCCCCCTGTTATGTCAGCTCTGCTTGCTGCCCGTCTGCTACCGAGCACAATTCAAAGTGTTGGATTTGGCCCTAAATGGTTCTATCCCAGCTTATCTGTCCGAACATATCTCCCTCTATGAACCACCTTGGAGATTAAGATTGTCTGTGGAGACCCTGCTCTTGGTTCCATCTGCTTCGCAGCTGCAGTTAGTGGGGATGAGGAACAAGGCCTTCTCAGTGGTGGCCCTTTGGTTATGGAACTCCTTCCTCAGTGAAATTGGGTCAGCCCCCTCCCTCCTGACCTTCAGAAAGGAAGGAAAAACTTGGCTCTGGAACCAAGCCTTTGGCCGCTTAAGCGGCTGAGGGGGAAAAGGAAAGGATCTGAGGCCAGGAATTGTGGGAGTTGAAGTCCAAAACATCTGGAGGGCTGAAAACATCTGGAGAGCTGAAGTTTGCCCATGCCTGAGACCGGGGCAATGGTGTAGATGACCCAACATCTATGATAAAGAAGTTTCTTCTTAGGTTCTTTATTACACCTGCCCAGCCCAGTTGCTCTTCCTCATTTGCCTATGGCTGAATCGATACTGCACTATATCCCAAGATCTGATCCCAGATTATTTATTTATTTATGACATTTATATGCCGCCCTTGTCACCCCGAAGGGGACTCAGAGTGGCTTACAAGATAGATAGATAGATAGATAGATAGATAGATAGATAGATAGATACACACACACACAATATATTATAAGCATAGTACAATATCAGTATTAAATATTACTATATTACTATACCATTATATTGTAATATTATTAGTAATATTACATGTAACATAAATATATAATTATAATACCATATTATTATTATTAGTAGTAGTAGTATATTGCATTGCATTGCATTACATTATAAGCTCCCCAACGACCTGAAACATCTCAGAAGGTCTATTGGATGCGGACGCTGTACAAGCAGTCAAGAAAGTCTCCTTGGCTGCCCACAGAGCCGTGGTATAGGCCCTAATTGAGGCTCTAGCCAGCACTGGGTCGGAAACACCCCAGGATTTCCTCCAGAGGCACTCTAGACTCCTTCTCACCCGCTTCATCTCCGCCAACTCCTCAGAGAACCAAGGAGATGGCATGACTCTGCGCAGTGAGAGGGGACATTCGGGAGCAATCGTGTCCGTTACCCTGGCCATCTTGCTGTTATAGCAATCAACCAGGGTGTCAACAGGATCAACAGACTCCATGACAGGAAGAGCCTTAAGATTCTCTTTGGAAGTTTTTAAATAGAGGCTAGATGGCCATCTATCAGGGGTGCTTTGAATGCAATATTCCTACTTCTTGGCAGGGGGTTGGACTGGATGGCCCATGAGGTCTCTTCCAACTCTATGATTCTATGATTCTATTCCTCAGGAATCCATCCAGATCCATCAGTCTCCTGGGGCGAACCTTCTTAATTGGTCCAACACCATGGCGAAGGTTAGAGGTCACAGCAAGTCTAAAACTGATCAGATGATGGTCGTACCATGACAATGGAAGAATATTTTTCTCTTCCACCCTGACCACTCCACTGTCTGCAGTAAAAACTAGGTCGAGTGTATGTCCAGCCTGATGGGTGGGTCCAGATATTACTTGTGATAGCCCCATGTTTGTCATGGCAACCATGAAGTCTTGAGCTGCTCCTGTTAAGGTGCTCTCTGCCTGAATGTTAAAGTCCCCCAGCACAATCAAGTTTTGGGAGACCAGGGCCGAATTAGAGACCACCTCTGCTAGCTCTGGCAGGGAGACTGCTGTGTCACGGAGTGGATGGTTCACCAGCAGAATCCCCAAGCTATTACTGGTTCCCACCCTCAGGTGGACACACTCAAACCCAAGAGACTGTGGGGCAGCGCATCTGATCACGGAGATGGACTGCCAAAGACTACTGTGACCTCTCCTCCCCACCCCCTAGCCTGCTAGTGCACCCCAAAGCCCGGTGGGCATAGCTGGGTGAAATTTACCCCACCCAGCTCATCCAGCCAGGTCTCAGTGATAATAATCTTAATAATCATTTAATAATAATAATAATAATAATAATAATAATAATAATAATACAATTTAATAACAACAGTAATAAAATAGTGCAATAATAATCATACAATTTAATAATATTTGAACTGGACTGGGATTGTGTAATAGCTGGTCTATTTTAACCTTTGTTTTAACCTTCATTTTTAACTTTTGTGGTTTGAAGTTTACCTTGGCATTTTAATGATGGTATTTTTAATTACTTTTAACTTTTAACTCAAGTTCTAATGTATGTTAGTTCACTATTACAGGAGCCTTAGGATAGTGATTAGTGCCTATTTGTGTACTTTTTCGTTTTGTCTTTACTGTTGATATGGTCAGTGGACTAATCAATAAACTTTGCTTGCCTATACAATTTAATGATGATGATGATGATGATGATGATGATGATGATGATGATTCTGAGAGCCCAAGAACAAGCCATTAGAACAAAAGCCGTCAAAGTCAGAATTGAAAAGTCAACGACAGATTCCAAGTGTAGACTACGCAAGGAAGCAGATGAAACAATATATCACATCCTCAGCTGCTGCAAGAAGATCATGCAGACAGACTACAAGCAGAGGCATAACACCGTTGCTCAGATGATTCATTGGAACTTGTGCCACAAATATCATCTGCCTGCAACAAAGAACTGGTGAGATCACAAGCCTGGAAAAGTTACAGAAAATGAACACGTCAAATTACTCTGGGACTTCCGAATTCAGACTGACAGAGTTCTGGAGCACAATACTCCTGACCTCACAATCGTGTTAAAAAAACAAAGTATGGATTGTTGATGTTGCCATCCCAGGTGACAGGAGGATTGAAGAGAAACAACTGGAAAAGCTGGCACTATATGAGGATTTAAAGATCGAACTGCAAAGACTCTGGCTCTAGCCAGTCAAGGTGGTCCCAGTGGTGATCAGCACACTGGGTGCAGTGCCTAAAGACCTTGACCTGCACTTAAACACATTGGTGCTGACAAAATTACCATCTGCCAGCTGCAGAAGGCCACCTTACTGGCATCTGCACTCATTATTCGCCAATACATCACACAGTCATAGACACTTGGGAAGTGTCTGACGTGTGATCCAATACAATAGCCAGCAGAGTGATCTTGTCTGCTGTGGACTCATCTTGTTGCATTTCAAATAATAATAATAAGAAGAATATTTAATGACAACAATAATAAAATACTGCAATAATAATCATACAATTTAATAACATTTTAACTGGATTGGGATTGTGTAATACCTGGTCTACTTTAATCTTTGTTTTAACCTTCATTTTTAACTTTTGTGGTTTGAAGTTTTACCTTGACACAGGCATGTAGCCGGGGGAGGGGGGGCTTGGGGGGCTTCAGCCCCCCCCCCCCCAAATTCTCATGGTGGTTCGCAAAAGGCCTTACTGGTGCATTATTTAAACTGTTATGTTTATTCATATCATGATCTGATCACCATACTCAATATATCCCATATGCATGGGGGTATTGGGGTAATGATACAAAAGGTTTGCTAGGGTAGACCCTCTTTCACTCAGACTCAGCCCCCCGAAACTCAGCCCCCCCCCCCACCCCCCCCCCCCCCAAAGAAATTCACACACACCCCTCTCCCCGAAACGAAATCCTGGCTACGGGCCTCCCTTGGCATTTTAATGATGGTATTTTTAATTACTTTTAACTTTTAACTCAAGTTCTAATTTATGTTAGTTCACTATTACAGAAGTCTTAGGATAGTGATTAGTGCATATTTGTGTACTTTTTCGTTTTGTTTTTACTGTTGATATGGTCAGTGGACTAATCAATAAACTTTGCTTGCATATACAATTTGATGATGATGATTCTGACAGCCCAAGATGATAATAATAATAATAAAAACAATGGTGTAGTCATGTAATTGTTGTTCAAGCAAGGTTATCGATGTATAAATGTTGCTGTTCTCTTTATTCGTCCTTATTCTGTTAAAGAAATGAATTTTTCAGAAATAGAAACAAAATTTACAGTGTGTGTATATGCTGTGTTTCAGCTTTGCTTGGTAATTTGCAGACGGTCCCTTTCCCTCCATTCCCGAGCGCAGGGCGAGCTCTCAGCCGCGCGTTCCGTGCTGCAGTGTCACAGAAGGGAGGGGCGGGACGGGACTCTTCCTTTCCACCTCATCGGGAGCCCCTTTTTGACATTTCCCGAGGCAGAGAAGAAAGACCATAACTAGGATTCGGGGTAGCCCACGGAAGACGGTTCTGGAGGGCTGGCCCACGTTCCCCACGCTGCCAAGCCAGAGGTGGGTGGGGCAGCAAACGAGTTTCTCCCCTTGGGCGGAGGAAGGGAATTTGCAGGCGGTCCCTTAGCATCTTAGGAAGCCAACGCTGGCTTGTTATGGTCTCGTTGCTCTGCTTTTCCCCCCATCCTGACGCTGCAAAAGAGCGGCTGCGGTTGAAGACGATCCGGAGGAAGGAAAGAAAGTGGAATTGCAAACCAACCCCTCGCTTGGGTTTGCTCACCTGGCTGCCTTCAGGTAAGAGGCAAACCATGCCTTCCTGGCCCCTGCCCACGCCTCAGGAGGGAAACCCGGGTTGGGCTTGCTTTGGGATGCCTCCTGTACATATCAGCCCAGTTCATTGGGTGCCTTGAAAAGCGGGGAGATCCTCTCCCATCTAATCCCCTCTCCTCCAACAAGTGACAGGGAGATACTGGTTCCCATTGGGTTGTTAAGCCAAGGATCAGGTGGGAAAGCAGCAATGCTTCCTTTTTGATTTGTAGTAAGAGAGGCCTGGGCGGTCTCTTAGGCATCTTGGGACCACATCGCACTAGAGAACTAATCCACTTTAAATCCAGTTGCTGCCTTTTGCAGAATTCTGGGGTTTGTAGTTTTAGGGAGGAGCCTTTAACAGCCTACAAACCCCAGAATTCTGCAGGAGGCAGAAACCGGATTTAAAGTGGATTCATCCACCAGTGAGATGAAGTATCTGGATCCTATCAGGTTCATATGCAGAATGAATGCAGTTTGGCCTGGCTTTCGCTGCCATGGCTCATTTTGCTATGGGACCATGGGAATTATAGTTTGGTTTTATTTCCTATCAAAAGCATTGCATAAATTAGTATAAAACTGTTAAAAATAGAAGGTCTGCAGGCAGCTAAATATATGGTGACCAAAAACGGGCAACAACAACAGCATTGTCTGTAGCCTCCAACAATTCCTCCTCTGTACATGAGGCAGGGCACAGTTGACAAGCATACAGATGCGGAGTTGTCTGTTTTGCTCCACAGTCATAAGTTATGGGATTCTTTTAGGTAGTGCCATTTGCCAGGTTGTCTTTTGATCTGCCCACTCCACTTCTGAGTCTATTCAGGGACTTCCAAATTGCCCATTCTTGGTTTGCCCCTGGAGGAAGACCCTCATGGGGGGCCATCCAGTTAGGATTTCCTGGTTTAGCTGCCCAGAGGGATACCCTTGCTGTTGCTGGGGGGACGCCAAGAGAAGTGGTGGTTCTCATAAAGCTTTTCCTTGATTGATATTGTGGGATTTTCTGGCTTGATATTCTGGGATATAGGGCTGTGTGGAAGGGCCCCCAGTTGCTGTTGTGTGGCTCCTCCTGTTGTTGCTGTTCATAAAAATACATGGGGGAGATTTTGCTAGCTGCCTACATGGGGCAGGACAGAATGTGAAAAAGTTACTGCGCAGACATTACATATACGTACTGGCTGGCTAGGATTTTAAGACTTGATCTGCCAAAAACAAAACAAAACTGTTCCAAACTCTGGGCTGACCCAAAGCACTATTCAGACAACCCCCAAAAGTGACACTAGGATGTGTTGTCGAAGGCTTTCATGGCCAGTATCACTAGATTGCTGTGCATTTTCCAGGCTGTATGGCCATGTTCCAGAAGCATTCTCTCAGGCAAGAGTTCTTTCTTCCACCCTGGACTTTCCACAGATATAAAAACCCCATTTGCCTAGTTTCCAACAGACCTCACAACCTCTGAGGATGCCTACCATAGATGTGGGCGAAACATCAGGAGAGAATTCTTCTGGAACATGGCCATACAGCCCAGAAAACTCACAGCAACACAGTGACACTAGGATGATACCAGCCTACATCACAAGATTGTTTGTAACCACTTTTTTCCTGTTTATTTCTGATTATCTGTTTTTCTGTTGCATGTATGTACCATATGCTGAGGAACTGAATGAGTTGGAACTAAATTACAGACACAGTTTTAAAAGCCTTGTCATCAGCCCTGCAAGGTGCTAGTTAAATGATGAAACGTTTACCCCTGAGTACCTTTTGTTTCAGCAAGTTTGTTACCTAGGCTTGGCATATTTGGAAACATAGCTTCCAGTTAACAATCTGTGCTGACCCTCAGCACCCATTTTCCTTTTCTGTCCTCAAATATAACAAGAAAGAAAAAATAGCCAGCAGGTGGAGAGGCTTAGTCATCGTTTTAGAAAAGTCTTTCCTATAGAAAACTAGCATGCTGCGAGAAAAGATGTACTGTAGCTTTCTCTTTCTTCTTCCTGATAGGAAGCTGGCAGTGCAACAGTTTTCATCTAGTTGTCTGTTTAGAACAGTGGTTCTCAACCTGGGGTCCCCAGATGTTTTACTCCTACAACTCCCAGAAATCCCAGCCAGTTTACTAGCTGTTAGGATTTCTGGGAGTTGAAGGCCCAAAACATCTGGGGACCCCAGATTAAGAACCACTGGTTTAGAAGATTACAATGCTTCCATACAATCATTTAATACCTATTGACCATATTAACGAGGCATAGTCAAACCCTATACATGACCCTGGAACAAAACTATACAGGCAGTCCCTGTGTTACAAACACCCGACTTATAAACAACTCATAGCTAAGAACGGGAGTGAGAAAATAGGAAGTGTGGGAAATCTAGCCCTAGGAAGGGAAATTAACTCCTGAAAGAGTTATTATGTGGAAAAGGTGTCTCCACTGAAGTTTTCTCATCAATCCTTGTTTCGACAACAAGCCAAATTTTTCAAAATCCAATTCTCACAGGAACAGAAAATGAAGTGAAATCTTCTGAATGGAGGCACAGACAGCAAAACTAACCCTGCAGGCTTGTTGACCCTTCCTTATGCTATCCAAAGCTAGAAAATATATACATTTGGATGGAGTTACACTTAAAGAGTGTGCTTGTACCAACTTACAAACAAAATTAACTTCTGAACACATCTATAGAACCTTGTTCATAACTTGGGGACCCTTCCTTGGATGGTATATGATCTAGGTAATAGATCCAACTACTTTTTTTGTGACATGCTGATTTTTCAAATGCACAGCTTCCTGGAAGAGTTGGCAGTTTTCATCCCACAATGAAAACTTTTGTTGACCATAGTTTTTGTTTTGTTTTGATGCCTGGAGCAACATGAGAAACTGCAAGTCACTTCTGGTGTGAGATAATTGGCCGTCTGCAATGACATTGCCCAGGGGATGCCCAGATGTTTGATGTTTTACCATACTTGAGGGAGGCTTCTCTCATGTCCCCCCAATGGGAGCTCAAGCTGACAGAGGGAGGTCAACCCGCTCCCCCAGGTTGCACCACCAGAGGCTCCTGATCATGGTTAATAACACTATATAATACAAAATGATCTGTAGCCTTTCATTTCTGGGTCTGGCAAGGATAATCAATCCTGTGCAGAGATGACTACCAACAATAGCAGTCATTTAAAAATAAATAAAACCTGTATACATGGTATCACTGGGGTTTGGTTCTTGGATTCCCCTATGGATCCTGAAATCCATGGATGCTCAATTTGTTTACATAGAATGACTTGGTAAAATAGTGTCCTTATACAAATGACACAACCAATGTTTGTTTGTTTTGGAATTTTTAAAAAATACGTTTCCACAGTAGATGCATTTACAAAGCATTTAGTATTACCCGGTAGCTGGCACTCTGGACAATTAGTGATTAAAGCCATAAAATGCAGGAATAAAACAGTAGAACAGAACATAACATCATTTTGTGACTGATGTCAGAGCCCATAGTGGGATCGCCTTGTACATGACTTATTCTGATATCTGGAAAACATAGCAACCCATCTTACTCTGACTCAGACTGCTTATCTGTCTGGCTCAGTATTGTATAATCGATCCGTGGCATTTCTGTCATCTGCTGTGTGATACTTTTACTGCAGATACAAAGGTCTCTACCTGGGACTTACTTCTGCCACTCGCCACATTTTTCTTTACGCCTAAATGCTGCATATGTGGGATGTGGATATGTCTTGATCAGTCAAGCGGTGGAGCCAACAAACAAGTGTTGAACTTTTTTTAGGATGTTTAGAATTGTCAAAAGCTTTCATGGCTAGAATCACTGGGTTGTTGTAGGTTTTTCGGGCTATGTAGCCATGTTTGAGAAGCATTATCTCTTGACGTTTCGCCTGCATCTATAGCAAAACCTCACAACCTCTTGAGGATGCTTGCCATAGATGCAGGCGAAACATCAGGAGAGAATGCTTCTAGAACATGGCCATATAGCCTGAAAAACCTACAACAACCCAATGTTTAGGATTATTAGAGATTATTGTTACATGATCCCACCTCCCTCAGGTTTCCTGATCTCTCTGCATTCATCTGCATTCCTCAGATTGGAAGTAGAGAGGGGGGTCTGTTTTCTCTGCAACAGTGCCTTGGTATAATAAACTATTTGGGGGTGGCAAAATTGCTTGAACAATTAAAATCCCTGCATTTATAAAAGACCTACATCTCTTGGAGATTAGAATTAATAGAGCAGCTTTGTTACAACGGATCAACACAACAGCCTCACATTTTGGGGCTATGGCATGTTGAATGGCTCTGCTTCCCAAAGTTGGATCTAAATAGGTATTTAAGTTCCTCCCATGATTGCTGATGAATAGTGGGACGACTGGAGGTTTATGATCCAGTCTTACATCTTCCTAAGGAGCCGCAGTGCCACAATGGGTTAAACCCTTGTGCCAGCTGAACTGCTGACCTGAACATCTGAAGGTCAGTGGTTCAATCCGCTAGAAGGGGCAAGCTCCCATCTGTCAGCCCCAGCTTCCCATGTGGGAACATGAGAGAAGTCTCCCACAGGATGGTAACACATTTGGGCAACCCCCTAGGCAATGTCCTTGCAGACGGCCGATTCGCTCACACCAGAAGTGACTTGCAGTATATTCTCAATTCACTTCTGACACAATAAAGAAAACCCTTTCTTCCTCCTTGTTCAATTACCATGTGCTGTTTCCGTCACAGAATCTCACTCGTCTCACATCTTTATAATATAAGAGATGCAGCATGGTATAGTGGTTTCAATGTTGGACTATAAAGTCCAAGTTGGAAGAGACCATAAGGGCTATCCAGCCAACCCCCTGCTATGGAGGAACAAATAAAGCACTCCCGAGAGATGGCCACCCAGCCTTTGTGTAAAAATCTCCAAAGAAGATTATTTATTTATTTATTTATTTATTTATTTATTTACAGTAGTTATATTCCACCCTTCTCATCTCACAGGGGACTCAGGGTGGATTACAA